AATTAAAGTAAATAGTGTAAATTACATCGCTAATGTCACAGAATAGCACATTGTAACGCAGTGTTACAACGTGCCCCATCTGCGCAACTGGAATTTAAAACTGGTTAGTGTCTTCTGCTAGTAATCAAATCATTCATCTGAACTGATAAATAACAGATTGGAGATTAAAATAATAGCAGATTTGTCTCATTTTAAATGAATAATAAAAACTGAGATAAAAAATTTACTTAAGCCAGAATTTAAATGTTACTATGGTAAAATAAATATTCAAACCACGTGCGTTACAACTAACACCCCGTTACTTTGTGCATTGCACTCATCGCAAGTTTATTGTTAAATGCCCTTGCATATCTCTGTCAACATTATAAGTGTTTGATCACCACATTTGAGTGATCATTGCAAAAAATGTGTTCATGTATATATATTCTGTTTATGTATATACTGTATTCTATATAGAGTACCAGTCAAATGTTTGGACATATGAATGGGAAAGTGTCCAAACTTTTGACTGGTACTGTACTATAATATACACAAAGAATATCGGCTGATATATCGTATCGGCCTTTTTTTTACTCCCTAGTATCGGTATCGGCCCCAAAAACCCCATATCGGTCGGGCTCTAATTTTAAGGTGCCTGCTAGATTTTGGAATTGACTTCCCTTGTGTTATTTCCAAACTTTAGAATCCAGAGTCTACTAACAGCCTTGTCAGAGCATAATAAATGTTGTCCGTTCTAAACCTCTAGTGAATTTTGTGGAAATTCAGTGTGTATTATTAAAACAAGGTTTCTCTTCAGTGTAGATCCGCTTTGTTTTAATTTTATTAGCCTAAATACCATTGGCTACACTGCTCATTATTAAACATTATCGGTCCTTAAAAATACCGTCTCTGTTAGTTTGCATCACTGGAGGAAAAAGTTGACGAAAGCCTCTAACACATGCATGCTCATTTGTCTACCAATGCTTGTGCTAGTGTTCACATTCGTACGTCCCTTTGGATGAAGAGACCAAATATTGATCTCTTGCTTTGGAATACTTCTGTTTGTTTGCATTTTCTTACCAGTTGATTGTGATCCTTGCATATTTGCAGCCACCCCACTCTGTGGAGGCCAGAGTACGGCAGCTACATGATCGAAGGGACCCCCGGGCAGCCGTATGGAGGGACCATGTCGGAGTTTAACACGGTAGAAGACAACATGGGAAAGCGGAGGAGAGAAGCCGCATCTGTGCTTAATAAGAACGAGACTCTCCTCACAGTTACGTCATTCCCCAGGTAGTTATATTATCAATCCTTAGCTATAATCCAATAATAATATCCATACCCACCCAAAGTTGCGTAAGCTTTGCCAAATTTCCGTTAAGGGTGTCTTTGCATTTAGATTCAGAGTTTTGCATCGGGAACAGACCAGATTATAACAGTTTTCCTGGTTCTTCCTGATATTGTCCGAGTTGGTGACCTTTTGCACTTTAATAAAGTATTACATTAACAGAAAACATCCGTCAGTCACGTCACTTTAAGGTAATGAATGATGCATTTCTGTGGACAAAACGCATCTGAAGTATAGCGGACGGCACAGAGTGAGCTGCTGTGGGAAAAATGCATGACCCAAGTTATCCAAAACATGGCAATGCTTTATATTATATGTAGGGTTGGGCCGATAGACTATGGCTGATGGCTGATAGGCATAACCATGTTGAGCCGGCATCGTGACCGTAGAAACGGTGTTAGGAATCGTGTTTTCCCTTATAAGGATTCACGCTTCGGGCACACCCCTCCCCCCGCTCGCCCCCGCCGATGTCATCGTCCATCGCGATGTTTGATTGAAGCCATTGTCCAATGCCAATTTTGTAGCCATCGCCCAACCCTAATTATGTGCATCAAACAAACTCATAAGCTTATAGTTTAACGTGGCTTACCTAGGGCCCTATGATTTACGCGATGTACAAACCCGATTCCAAAACTTCCATTCCTTTTTTACTCACAATTTGTACAGTGTCCCAACTTTTTTGGAATTGGGTTTGTAGAAAACGTGGATGGAATCGTGGAATCCAGTTATAAAAATAGAATTTACTGTATAATGCGGAATGTCACGGAATTTGTAATAAGAACTATTACAGCTTTAGCAGTCTTTGTATTCTATACACATTAATTGTTTCAAAAAAAGTAAAAATATTTCCTATTCGGCATAAAACTCCTGACTGTTTGAGTGATTTGGGTGTGCCATATGTGTGTAGATAGCATTCACCCTTTAGCCCCAAACATTTTATTGACCATGATAAAAGATACAGGCTTATATTTGTCTTTGCATGTTATTAAATCGTTTGTAGAGTTGCAGTGTAATATGCAAATGTGTGCAGTTCTGAATTGCAGTGTGTGGTTGTATTTTTCTCTTTGCTCGAAAAATCTCTTTTGCTATTGTTCTCGATTTGTGTGTTTTAGGTTAGGCTGCCCAGGCTTCACTCAACCAGAATACAAACCCACACCTGTTGAAAAAGGGGTGTCCAAATCGCTTTTCTTCCCCGATGAGGCCATCAACAGACACCCTAGATTCAGGTGAGAGAGAGAAGTTGTTTGCATAAGCTAGAGCTCAGAGGCATTACACGGGGATTATGGGGAGCCCAGTTCAAGAGACCGTGATCTTTCACATTCCAGTAGCCAAGAGCATTTTGCAAAGTGCTGTTCATCTGTAGAGTGGCTCCATTATGGTCACTCATATTTATGGTAAGTTAAGGATTTCGGCAAACCTAACTCTAAGCACATAAGTAATCCTGTACTGTTTGTGCTACACACATGAATTGTACTAATATTTTTAAATATTTAATGCATGGTTATTGCAGCTGAAAAAGGTATGGATGCTTTAGGTGATGCACTAATGAATCTCATTTGTTGATGTGTTATAGCACTCTGACCAGAAACATTCGCCACCGGAGAGGAGAAAAGGTGGCAATAAATGTACCAAGTAAGAGTTTTGGTGTTTTTGTAAAAGCTAGATTGCTGTTTCTGTAGTTGAAATTCAGTCTTGCCCTGGAAATAGAATAAACAGAGTATATGTGGTTTCATTTGATCTACTCCTAATGTGAGTGAAAGAGTGGATACCCATAATAAATCGCGATAAGCTGAAATCATGTTCACAATTCTAATTTGATTAATCAGGCAGCCCTATCCGAACTTAACCAATACAGGACTGACTTGAGCCACACAATGACTTGAGCCACATAATGTCTTTTTGAGCTTCTTTACAGCAGAATCTGAAATGCCTCCATAGTTGAGTTTCCACATTTGACTCTCTTATTTTCTTGTTAATCACGGTGAAGCAGCTTTGACACAATCAGTATTGTATAAAGCACTACAGAAATAAAGGTGACTTGACTCGACTATTGTTATTGATTGTTGAAAAATGTTTTCATTTTTGACAAATGAGATTTCACAGTGGATGTTGCTGCCCAGTGGTATGCCATTAAAGTAAAATCAAATGACATAGAGAGCGCCGCTGTTCATATTGCAGCAAATCTGGATAAAGGTTTATGTGGAAGAAGGTGCTTTTATTGCTCTGTAGCACACACTGCAACATGTCACATTTGTTTTGTTTGAGCAGGAACAAAATCAAGATGTTTATTCTATTTCTGCAAGATTTTTGCCATGTTTTCAATTGCTTCTCTTTTGACGTCCATGTCCTTAACAGTTTTTAAAGATAAAAACACCCCGTCTCCTTTTGTGGAGACGTTTCCAGAGGACGATGGAGAAGCTGCCCGGGCTGCCCTGCCTGATCATATCTACATGGACGCCATGGGCTTTGGCATGGGAAACTGTTGCCTGCAGGTAAAATGTATTTTCCTCCCAGAAACCGGATCATTGTTGCCTCTCACTAGCTATGTTTCCTTCAACCTGTTTTTATGCACGCTTTGAAGTGTCGCATCAGAAACGAGTTACGGAAACACGCTCGCTTTTTGACTTTTGTGAAAAAGGGTTAATGGGAGATGGAAACGCATTTTGCAAATAAATGCACATCAAAAAAGTCATGTGACTTTGCACGATGGGACGGCATAACCTGACTAACCAGCGGACTGATGGCATTGCACAGTATCTGAAATGTTGTTTATGGTCATTCTTAAATTCCTGAGCAAAGTCAGTCGTCAAAGTATTTCTGAACACTACTACGTTCCCAAACAGCAGCATCCGCCTCCGAAAGCAATGACCGCATTTATCGTGTTTCGTCTGCTTGCTCTTAGGCGCAAGTGATTTATTATATATGAAAATTATTATATTCATCAGTGGCTTCTACTTTTGTTAGTAATATTAAATGCCACTTTATCACGATTTTGTTCTCTTTGACTCGTTGGATGGAAACGGTGCTTTATTCGCAATTCAATATTCCGATTTTGTTTATAAGTTAAATTCGCAATTTTGGACTGAAACCCGGCTAGCGATTTGCATTGAGGATGTTTGGGTCAAGTGTTTGACATTGGGTCTGTCTTGTCCACCGCTTGCCATTTCAGGTGACCTTCCAGGCCTGCAGCATCAGTGAGGCGCGCTACCTTTACGACCAGCTGGCCACTTTCTGTCCCATAGTGGTAAGAGAACATGGGTCAGGGGAATTCTCACAACAGCTGCCCATTTAAAAAGGGTCCAACAAAAGAAAGTAAACTTTGCTTTACAGAACAAATGATAATGAATCACTATGTGTTTGTGTTGTTAAATAAATTGTGTATAAATGTGGGGATATGGTCACTGCAGGCACGGCAAACTTTTATGCATGATGTGACTGCTTGTAAGAGGGAGATGTGTGGTACACTACCGCATTCAAGAAAATAAAATTGACAAAGAGTAAAGTTTAATTTAAAAATCCCAAACTAAGAGAATTGTCTAAGCATTTCAATCTTTTAAAAAGCATCTTCTAACTTTGATCTTAGTTAAAAACTTGGCATCTTTACCACACATTAAGTAATATATGAAGAGTTTATTTGCAAAAACCGATAACTCCGTTTTTCAAAAATTATGTTTTTTGTTATGCTATCATGTTTTTATAGTGTTTTATTTTGTTAGTTAGCTGTATTTTTTAGTTATTTTTTAACCTAATCAAAATAACCCAACTGCAGTATGACTGAAGTTAATTGGAATGCACAATGAAAAAACATGATTTTTGAAAATTGTTAAAAACAGTTATTTGTTTTTGCAAATGAACTCTTCATATATAACCGATCCTCATCTTTTTCTCATTCCTGTGTGGTTTCCAGATGTTTCCAGAAATGCGCTGAAAAGCTCTTTGTATTGTTGTTTATGTTTGTGCAGATGGCTCTCAGCGCTGCCTCGCCGTTCTATCGGGGATTCGTGTCAGACATTGATTGCCGTTGGGGTGTGATCTCTGCGTCGGTGGATGACAGAACCCGAGAGGAGCGGGGCCTGGAGGTGAGATCGGGATCCTGTCTTGCCATGGTGCTTTGGCTGGTGCTGGAGCCGTTGCTCCACTGGCTGAAGAGCCAAATGATGATTTGACAGATGACATTATGACATAACCTGCCCACGAACTAGAAAAAGTTTTTAAATGTCTTAGACCCTATTCATAAGTAATTAGTTTTCCTTGAGGAGACAAGATGGAGTTTTACTCTTCTTCAAATTGGGTTCCATGTGCAATGTGAAGCAAGGTATGAAACAAATAATGCTGCGTTTTTCGTCCCCAATTCCTTCTCTTAACTGTATAAATAATTGTATAATTATAGGCTACATGATGTTCCTTAAAGGGTTAGTTCACCCAAAAATGAAAATTCTGTCATTAATTACTCACCCTCATGTCGTTCTAAACCTGTAAGATCTCCGTTCATCTTCGGAACACAAATTAAGATATTTTTGATGGAATCTCTGACCCTCCCATAGACAGCGATGTAATTACCATGATCAAGGTCCAGAAACGTAGCAAGGAGATCGGTAAAATAATCCATGTGACATCAGGAGTTCAACCGTAATATTACGAAGCTACAAGAATACTTTTTGTGCGCAAAAGAAAACAAATAAAACGACTTTATTCAACAATTCGTCTCCTCCGTGTCACCCTAGTGCCATTTTGGAGAGTATCCACTGAACGCAAACAGCCTATGTTGTTCTGTATCAGCCGCACCACACGGATACGCTGTATTAGTTTAAATCAAAGCACAAACAACGTAGAAAACGTATCCGAATGACGCAGCTGACACAGAATAGCATACGCTGTTTACGTTCAGTGGATACTCTCCAAAATGGCATCAGAGTGACGCAAAGGAGGAGACAAATTGTTGAATAAAGTCGTTATATTTGTTTTCTTTTGTGCACAAAAAGTATTCTCGTAGCTTCGTAATATTACGGATGAATCCCTGATGTCACATGGATTATTTTACTGATCTCCTTGCTACGTTTCTGGACCTTGATCGTGGTAGTTACCTTGCTGTCTATGGGAGGGTCAGAGAGCTCTCGGATTTCATCAAAAATATCTTGATTTGTGTTCCGAAGATGAACGGAGGTCTTATGGGTTTGGAACGACATGAGGGTGAGTAATTAATGACAGAATTTTCATTTTTGGGTGAACTATCCCTTTAACACCCACATCCAGACAATAGACACTCCCAATTCAGTAATGATTACAGGCATCCCAGACTTGTGTTAATCATACATGGAATAACAGACAGCCTCGTTAATTATTTGAAAAGAAAACTAACCCCATCCAATTACTGCTTTTGAGAACTTTTTTATGCCACCACACTTTATATAATGTCTGATTTTATTTAAATATGTAAAAGGAAAAAGAAAAACCTCACTCAATTTGCACACATTATATGTTAATTCTCTTAAAATTATGCTCTTTGAATTGTCACAATTTTTTTTTTTTTAGATAAGAACATTTGAACATTTAAGTATACATGTTTAATGTCAAATTACAATAAAAGCTGCATGTATAATAATTAACAAGTTTGTCAGTAGATCTGGCTACTTCTGATATCAACAGTTATATGGCCAATACTCACAGAATAGACCACTATATCGGCCAAGCTGATTAATCAGCTGATGTTTAAATATCACTAGCTTCACAAGTCGAGCATGTCACACTGCATGGCATTTGTCACATCGTGTCGATTGCTCACATCCATTATCTTGCATTTTTCTCAGTTTCGGATTGCAAAAAAAAAAAACAGACATGGTTCAAATGAATTATGTTGTGGTGTTTCTGTGTCTCCGCAGCCGCTGAAAAACAACAAATTCAAGATCAATAAATCACGGTACGATTCGATTGACAGCTACCTCTCCTGCTGTGGTGAGAAATACAATGACATTGAGCTGACCATCGATGAAGATATCAACAAACAGCTCCTAGATGCAGGTAAAGAAATGCACACTGGCACCCTGTCTACAGCGGTTTGAGGATCACCTCAATGAGAAGTCTTGCTTATTCCTTTGTCCTCTTGTCAAAAGATCCTTCTAGTCCACTGTAGACAGCATTGGTGCTTGTAATGGGTACTTTATGCTTTCGACACGACACGGCACTCGCGTTCAGAGTAGACGGGGTGTGAAAATCATTGAAGCAGGCCGCTGCAGTCAGTGCGCTTGTCAGCTCTGTGCAGTATTTTCAGTCGCACTGTATTGCACTGTTGCAGGCATCGACAAACTGCTGGCACAGCACATTGCACATCTCTTCATCCGCGACCCGCTGTCGCTCTTCCAGGAGAAGATTCATTTGGATGATGAGAACGAATCGGACCACTTTGAGGTAAAGTTTACAGCTGATTTTCATTGTTCTAGCAAATTGAAATTGATCGGCAACAACAAAATGTCAATATTAGACCAGTGTTCACTAAAATTGCATGTGAAAATGAGCCATAGTTTATTTTGCATGTTGCAGAACCTTCAGTCAACCAACTGGCAGACAATGAGGTTCAAGCCGCCCCCTCCAAACTCTGACATCGGATGGAGAGTCGAGTTCCGTCCAATGGAGGTATTAAACAAACAGCTGTCTGTGTGCCAAATGATGCAAGCAGACGTGGCTTGACTGGCTGTGTGCTTAGCAAGCCTACAGTTTATTCAAGCACAACATGCAAAACTAATAATTTGCTACTGACAGAATATACACACACTATATACACACAATATAAATTTTATATAATATAATGTAACTTATAAAATACGACGTGGACAGGTTTGAGTTGATTTTTATATATGCAGTCATTTGATTTGAGCTTCATGTTTCTTATATCAGATGGTCATGTGCATGTTTTTTTTTAAACAGGTCCAACTGACAGATTTTGAAAACTCTGCTTATGTCGTGTTTATCGTTCTCCTCACCCGTGTGATCTTATCCTATAAGTTGGATTTCCTCATTCCATTATCAAAGGTTGGTTTTGTCTTTGTTTGTGTTTTGACACTTAGCATTTTAACTCTTGGTTACACCGCTGAAAAACTGGAAGATATTAAATGGCAAAAAAAAAACTAAAGATTCTTTCAAAATAAGATCGTCACCAAGAATCTTACATGTGCACGCATGACATTTGTATTTCTGTTCATTAAAGCACTGCATGCAACTTTGTGCAACTTCACTGTTTTGGTTTAGGTTGATGAGAATATGAAAGTTGCCCAGAAGCGAAATGCAGTGCAAGAAGGCATGTTTTATTTTCGGAAGGACGCCTTTAAAGGTTAGTTGACATTAAAGTTAAATAGAGGTCATTATCATTCATATCAACATTGAGCTGTGACATGTTTTTATAAAGGCACAACTAAAATAATGTGGTCATTTGTGATACTGCATGCTGGTTCCATATTTCTTTTTAAATCATTATTTCTTGATTTGTATTATTATTATTATTATTATTATTTTAAGGCTGCAACCCAGTGTTAGAGCCGCCCTCCACCGCTCAGAATGGAGTGGAGAGTGAAGCTAAAGACAGTGAAGAGTTCACACTGATGAGTATCGACACCATCATCAATGGGAAGGTGAGTGTTTCTCTGCTCTTTAACTTTACTTTCCAAAGAGTTTCAACAATAGGCTTGAGTGTGTAGAACAATGCTCGATTCCTTTATTTTATTGTGTGGTGGTGTGTAGGGTTAGGCCGATAGACGATGCCATTGTTTATCGCCGATGTAGGGGTGTGTGGGGTAATATCGTAATTGTTGTTTTAATGATGTGCGATTTGACATTATCGAGTATTTTGCAAAAACCATTCAAAACATCCCTACAGAGCGCACACATACATTACGTGAAGTCTAGACTAGTGAGTGTGCGTATTTAGTGTGGTCTATGTAAATTATATGAAGATAGTTTTACTCCAATGAAACTGTCAAATGCTCATAAAGTGACTCTAAGAGGGAGTCAGAGCAGTTCTGGAGATGTTGTTCATGTATTTATGTCCTCATGTAGTGAGACGACAGAAGCTGAAATCACCGCGAGCGTCGCACACTTTGTATGTGTAGAAAACAACACC